GTCCTCTCTCCCCTCCCTGTCCTCTCTCCCTCCCTGTCCTCTCTCCCTCCCTGTCCTCTCTCCCCTCACCTGTCCTCTCTCTCCCCTCCCTGTCCTCTCTCCCCTCCCTGTCCTCTCTCCCCTCCCTGTCCTCTTCCCTCCCTGTCCTCTCTCCCCTCCCTGTCCTCTCTCCCCTCCCTGTCCTCTCTTCCCCTCCCTGTCCTCTCTCCCCTCCCTGTCCTCTCTCCCCTCCCTGTCTCTCTCCCCCTCCCTGTCCTCTCTCCCCTCCCTGTCCTCCTCCCCTCCCTGTCCTCTCTCCCCTCCCTGTCCTCTCTCCCCTCCCTGTCCTCTCTCCCCTCCCTGTCCTCTCTCCCCTCCCTGTCCTCTCTCCCCTCCCTGTCCTCTCTCCCCTCCCTGTCCTCTATCTCCCCTCCCTGTCCTCTCTCCCCCTCCCTGTCTCTCTCCCTCCCTGTCCTCTCTCCCTCCCTGTCCTCTCTCCCCTCCCTGTCCTCTCGTCCCCCTCCCTGTCCTCTCTCCCATCCCTGTCCTCATCTCCCCTCCCTGTCCTCTCTCCCCTCCCTGTCCTCTCTCCCCTCCCTGTCCTCTCTACCTATTCCCCTCCCTGTCCTCTCTCCCCTCCCTGTCCTCTCTCCCCTCCCTGTCCTCTCTCCCTCCCGGTCCTCTCTCCCCTCCCTGTCCTCTCTCCCCTCCCTGTCCTCTCTCCCCTCCCTGTCCTCTCTCCCCTCCCTGTCCTCTCTCCCCTCCCTGTCGCTCTCTCCCCTCCCTGGCCCTCTCTCCCCTCCCTGTCCTCTCTCCCCTCCCTGTCCTCTCTCCCCTCCCTGTCCTCTCTCCCCTCCCTGTCTTCGTCTCCCCTCCCTGTCCTCTCTCCCCTCCCTGTCCTCTTCTCCCCTCCCTGTCCTCTCTCCCCTCCCTGTCCTCTCTCCCCTCCCTGTCCTCTCTCCCCTCCCTGTCCTCTCTCCCCCTCCCTGTCCTCATCTCCCCTCCCTGTCCTCTCTCCCCTCCCTGTCCTCGTCTCCCCTCCCTGTCCTCTCTCCCCTCCCTGTCCTCCTCTTCCCCTCCCTGTCTCTCTCCCCTCCCTGTCCTCTCTCCCCTCCCTGTCCCTCTCCCCTCCCTGTTCCTCTCTCCCCTCCCTGTCCTCTCTCCCTCCCTGTCCTCTCTCCCTCCCTGGCCTCTCTCCCCTCCCTGTCCTCTCTCCCCTCCCTGTCCTCTCTCCCGCCCTGTCCTCTCTCCCGCTCCCTGTCCTCTCTCCCCTCCCTGTCCTCTCTCCCCTCCCTGTGTCCTCTCTCCCCCTCCCTGTCCCTCTCTCCCCTCCCTGTCCTCTCTCCCCTCCCTGTCCTCTCTCCCCTCCCTGTCCTCTCTTCTCCCTCCCTGTCCCTCCTCCCTCCCCTCCCTGTCCCTCTCTCCCCTCCCTGTCCTCTCTCCCCCTCCCTGTCCTCTCTCCCCTCCCTGTCCCTCTCTCCCTCCCTGTCCTCTCTCCCCTCCCTGTCCTCTCTCCCCTCCCTGTCCTCTCTCCCCTCCCTGTCCTCTCTCCCCTCCCTGTCCTCTCTCCCCTCCCTGTCCTCTCTCCGCCTCCCTCTGTCCTCTCTCCCCTCCCTGTCCTCTCTCCCCTCCCTGTCCTCTCTCCCCTCCCTGTCCTCTCTCCCCTCCCTGTCCTCTCTCTCCCCTCCCTGTCTCTCTCCCCTCCCTGTCCTCTCTCCCCTCCCTGTCCTCTCTCCCCTCCCTGTCCTCTCTCCCCTCCCTGTCCTCTCTCCCCTCCCTGTCTCTCTCCCCTCCCTGTCCTCTCTCCCCTCCCTGTCCTCTCTCCCCTCCCTGTCCTCTCTCCCCTCCCTGTCCTCTCTCCCCTCCCTGTCCTCTCTCCCTCCCTGTCCTCTCTCCCCTCCCTGTCCTCTCTCCCCTCCCTGTCCTCATCTCCCCCTCCCTGTCCTCTCTCCCCTCCCTGTCCTCTCTCCCCTCCCTGTCCTCTCTCCCCTCCCTGTCCTCTCTCCCTCCCTGTCCTCTCTCCCCTCCCTGTCCTCTCTCCCCTCCCTGTCCTCTCGCCCCTCCCTGTCCTTCTCTCCCCTCCCTGTCCTCTCTCCCCTCCCTGTCCTCTCTCCCCTCCCTGTCCTCTCTCCCCTCCCTGTCCTCTCTTCCCCTCCCTGTCCTCTCTCCCTCCTGTCCTCTCTCCCTCCTGTCCTCTCTCCCCTCCCTGTCCTCTCTCCCCTCCCTGTCCTCTCTCCCCTCCCTGTCCTCTCTCCCCTCCCTGTCCTCTCTCCCCTCCCTGTCCTCTCTCCCCTCCCTGTCCTCTCTCCCCTCCCTCCTGTCCTCTCTCCCCTCCCTGTCCTCTCTCCCCCCCTGTCCTCTCTCCCCTCCCTGTCCTCTCTCCCTCCCTGTCCTCTCTCCACTCCATGTCCTCTCTCCCCTCCCTGTCCTCTCTCCCCTCCCTGTCCTCTCTCCCCTCCTGTCCTCTCTCCCCTCCCTGTCCTCTCTCCCCTCCCTGTCTCTCTCCCCTCCCTGTCCTCTCTCCCCTCCCTGTCCTCTCTCCCTCCCTGTCCTCTCTCCCCTCCCTGTCCTCTCTCCCCTCCCTGTCCTCTCTCCCCTCCCTGTCCTCTCTCCCCTCCCTGTCCTCTCTCCCTCCCTGTCCTCTCTCCCCTCCCTGTCCTCTCTCCCCTCCCTGTCCTCTCATCCCCTCCCTGTCCTCTCTCCCCTCCCTGTCCTCTCTCCCCTCCCTGTCCTCTCCTCCCTCCCTGTCCTCTCTCCCCTCCCTGTCCTCTCTCCCCTCCCTGTCCTCTCTCCCCTCCCTGTCCTCTCTCTCCCCTCCCTGTCCTCTCTCCCCTCCCTGTCCTCTCTCCCCTCCCTGTCCTCTCTCCCCTCCTGTCCTCTCTCCCCTCCCTGTCCTCTCTCCCCTCCCTGTCCTCTCTCCCCTCCCTGTCCTCTCTCCCTCCCTGTCCTCTCTCCCCTCCCTGTCCTCTCTCCCCTCCCTGTCCTCTCTCCCCTCCCTGTCCTCTCTCCCCTCCCTGTCCTCTCTCCCTCCCTGTCCTCTCTCCCCTCCCTGTCCTCTCTCCCCTCCCTGTTCCTCTCTCCCTCCCTGTCCTCTCTCCCCTCCTGTCCTCTCTCCCTCCCTGTCCTCTCTCCCCTCCCTGTCCTCTCTCCCCTCCCTGTCCTCTCTCCCCTCCCTGTCCTCTCTCCCCTCCCTGTCCTCTCTCCCCTCCCTGTCCTCTCTCCCCTCCCTGTCCTCTCTCCCCTCCCTGTCCTCTCTCCCCTCCCTGTCCTCTCTCCCCTCCCTGTCCTCTCTCCCCTCCCTGTCCTCTCTCCCCTCCCTGTCCTCTCTCCCCTCCCTGTCCTCTCTCCCCTCCCTGTCCTCTCTCCCCTCCCTGTCCTCTCTCCCCTCCCTGTCCTCTCTCCCCTCCCTGTCCTCTCTCCCCTCCCTGTCCTCTCTCCCCTCCCTGTCCTCTCTCCCCTCCCTGTCCTCTCTCCCCTCCTGTCCTCTCTCCCCTCCCTGTCCTCTCTCCCCTCCCTGTCCTCTCTCCCCTCCCTGTCCTCTCTCCCCTCCCTGTCCTCTCTCCCCTCCCTGTCCTCTCTCCCCTCCCTGTCCTCTCTCCCCTCCCTGTCCTCTATCCCCTCCCTGTCCTCTCTCCCCTCCCTGTCCTCTCTCCCCTCCCTGTCCTCTCTCCCCTCTGTCCTCTCTCCCCTCCCTGTCCTCTCTCCCCTCCCTGTCCTCTCTCCCTCCCTGTCCTCTCTCCCCTCCCTGTCCTCTCTCCCCTCCCTGTCCTCTCTCCCCTCCCTGTCCTCTCTCCCCTCCCTGTCCTCTCTCCCCTACCTGTCCTCTCTTCCCCTCCCTGTCCTCTCTCCCCTCCTGTCCTCTCTCCCTCCTGTCCTCTCTCCCCTCCCTGTCCTCTCTCTCCCCTCCCTGTCCTCTCTCCCCTCCCTGTCCTCTCTCCCCTCCCTGTCCTCTCTCCCCTCCCTGTCCTCTCTCCCCTCCCTGTCCTCTCTCCCCTCCCTGTCCTCTCTCCCCTCCCTGTCCTCTCTCCCCTCCCTGTCCTCTCTCCCCTCCCTGTCCTCTCTCCCCTCCCTGTCCTCTCTCCCCTCCCTGTCCTCTCTCCCCTCCCTGTCCTCTCTCCCCTCCCTGTCCTCTCTCCCCTCCCTGTCCTCTCTCCCCTCCCTGTCCTCTCTCCCCTCCCTGTCCTCTCTCCCCTCCCTGTCCTCTCTCCCCTCCCTGTCCTCTCTCCCCTCCCTGTCCTCTCTCCCTCCCTGTCCTCTCTCCCCTCCCTGTCCTCTCTCCCCTCCCTGTCCTCTCTCCCCTCCCTGTCCTCTCTCCCCTCCCTGTCCTCTCTCCCCTCCCTGTCCTCTCTCCCCTCCCTGTCCTCTCTCCCCTCCCTGTCCTCTCTCCCCTCCCTGTCCTCTCTCCCCTCCCTGTCCTCTCTCCCCTCCCTGTCCTCTCTCCCCTCCCTGTCCTCTCTCCCCTCCCTGTCCTCTCTCCCAATCTTCTCTCACTCCACTCCCTGCTCTCTCGATTCTCCCTTTCTCCCTTCATGCTCCTCCCCTCTGTCATTTCTTCCCCGTCCTGTCATTTCACCCCCCCGGCTCTCATTTCACCCCTCCCCTGTCCTGTCCAACCCCCCTTCGCCGTCCTGTCCAACACCCCCGTCTCTGTCCTGTCCTATTCCCACACTTTCCCTGTCCCATCCCCTCTATCTGTCATGTCATATCCCCCCTTTCTGTCCTCTCCTATCCCCCCTCTCTGCCATGCACTCTATCCAGCCCCGGTCCGATCTACCTATTGGGGCTGCGCCTCCCTCAGATTGCAATGCCTTGATCCGGGCGCATTTCTCCTAACGCGTCTACCACACTCTAACAACGCCACCACACCTCTCATCGCCACACCCGCACCTACACATTGCCCTTCCCTGCCATCTCCCCAATATTACCTCACTCGTCTATCTTACTCCCCTCACCCTCTGTGCCCCTCCCTGGCCTGTATCTGCTCCCTGTCTTTCCACCCCCCCTTGTCCTATATCCCCGCTATGTCCTTTCTTTGCGCTTTCTCCCCATGCTTCCCTCTCTCCCCTCTCTTACTCCCCTCACCCCTCCCTGCCCTCTCTCCCCATACCATCGTCTCTCCCCTCTTGTACTCCCCTCTCCCATCCCTGCCATATCTGCCCACCCCGTCCCCTCTCCCTCCCTGCCATATCTCCCCACCCCGTCCCCTCTCCCATCCCTGCCATATCTCCCCACCCCCGTCCCCTCTCCCATCCCTGCCATATCTCCCCACCCCGTCCCCTCTCCCCTCCCTGCCATATCTCCCCACCCCGTCCCCTCTCCCATCCCTGCCATATCTCCTCACCCCGTCCCCTCTCCCCTCCCTGCCATATCTCCCCTCCCTGCCCTCTCTCGACCCCATGCCCTCTCTCCCTCTCTTCCGTCTCTCCCTTCAATGCCCTCTCGGCCCCATCTCCCCTCTCTTTGCTCTCTGCCTTGTCCTATCCCCCCTCTCTGTCCCGTCCAATCGTTCCTCTAACGCCATACTTGCCCTATCAATCATCTGTGTACCTGTTCTCCTCACTGTGTTCTCTCCTCTCCCTGCCCTTTCATCTATGTCTGCCACTCTCTTCCCCCAGTCTGGAATCGTTGATGAAAATGACCCGCCGTGCAGACACGGGCAATGACGATGAATTGTTATGCATTTGGCGGAAGGGGAGGGGATGGGGAGGCGGTTGGAGTGCTGAAGGGCCATAATGTGGTAGTTTGAGCTCATGGTGTGGTCCTAGGCTTTTTTAGAGTGCATATTATCAATGGGCAAAGATGTTGTTAGAACGATGCTTTCACTCAGGGTCTAAACCCTTGATGTATCATTCTTATGCCGTCTTTTCACATTTCGCTTGGCATGTTAGTCAAATAATGGCTTTACAAAGATCCTGTCAAGTTTTTTCACATCCAAATAGAACACCAGTTCTTGGACAAATCACAAGCTCCCTACCATGTCGCATGATGTCATGCAGCAAGGGCGTAGAAGAGTGTGCTCCTATGTGTCATCTGCCGTGGACTGGACACTTGAAAATGAGGAAGGGATGACGGGTGGAAAATGAGGCGAAGCAGGAGGGGACATGAGGGGAAGAGGGGGGGGTGAGAAGGATGGAGATGGAAGGTGGGGAGAGGATTTAGAGGTACGAAGGGGAGAGAGGGAGGACACGGGGGATAGAGGAGGATAGGGGGAGAGAGGAGGACGGTGGGGGGAGAGGGAGACACTGGGGGGGAGATGGGGAGGCAGGGGGAGAGATGGGGGGAAAGGGAGATGCGACCTGGGGGGAAGGGGAGATGCGACCTGGGGGGAAGGGGAGATGCGACCTGGGGGGAAGGGGAGATGCGACCTGGGGGGGAGCGGAGATGCAACCTGGGGGGAAGGGGAGATGCGATTTGGAGGGAAGGGGAGATGCAACCTGGTGGGGGGGAAGGGGAGTTGCGACCTGGGTGGAAGGGGAGATGCGACCAGGGGCAAAGACTGAGCAAGGGGAAACAGAGTGAGCAGGGGGGAAGGGAGAAAGCAGGGGGGAAGAAATTAGCAAGGGGAAACAGAGTGAGCAGGGTTGAAGGGAGATAGCAGGGGGGAAGAAATGAGCAAGGGGAAACAGAGTGAGCAGGGGGGAAGGGAGAAAGCAGGGGGGAACAAATTGAGCAAGGGGAAACAGAGTGAGCAGGGAGGTTGAGTGAAGGGTAAAAGAGGGGTCCGCAAAAAGGAACGCAGATGGAGGAAGAAGTTGTGCTCATTCGGGAGGATGTGGATGAGAGTGAAGCATAGGGTGAGGGAATTGGAGGAGGTGGTAAATACGTGCACTGTGAGGGGTAGAGAAGGGTGGGGGGACCGGGAGACGAAGGCGACAGCCCCGGGAGGGGAGGGGAACGCGCGTGGGCGACAGGGGAAGGAATCGAGAGCGAAAACGAGGGGAAGCAGGGTGAGGCAGCGGCGGGAAGGGGAGCGAGGAGAGGTTCGACGGGGCGAGCGATGGGAACGGGAAGCGATGGTAACGGGCAGGAACTGAGAAAAGGGAATGAGGCGCAGGCGGGGGGACAGGATAGGGTGGAATGAGGAGGACAGAGCGGGAGAGAGGGGGACAGGGGGAGAGAGAGGAACAGGGGGGAGTGGAATGAGGAGGATATGGCGGGAGAGAGGGGAACAGGGGGGGAGAGAGGGGTACAGGGTGGGAGAGCGGGGGACAGGGGGGGAGAGAGAGGGACAGGGTGGGAGAGAGGGGGACAGGGGGGGAGAGAGGGGGACAGGGGGGTGGGAGGGCAGTGGGGAGAGGGGAAGACAGGGGGGGGAGAAGGGAGGGCAGGGGGGAGAGAGGAGGACAGGGGGGAGAACGGAGGGCAGGGGGGGAAGGGGAAGACAGGGGGGGGAGAAGGGGGGCCAGGGTGTAGGGAGGAGGACAGAGGGAGAGCGGAGGACAGTAGGGGACAAGCAACACGGACACTGAGAGGGGAAACAAAAACAGAGGACGCGCAGCATGGACACTGTGAAAGATAGGGTTGGGAGATTAGGGGAGAGGGGGATTGGGGGGGATAGGGAATAGGGAGATCGCAATCAGTGCAAACAATGGGGGGACCTGAGTGTAAAGAAGGGGTCTCAAATGAGTGCACCCAGGCGGTGTAACTTAACCTTAAACAGGGACCCGAAACTGAGTGTCAAACAGGGGAGGAAAATGAGTGCAAACAGGCTGGGAGACAGAGTGCAAACAGAAGGGGAATCTGAGTGCATGGATTTGAGCTGGGGGGAGACTAGAGAACATGGGCGAGGCGGCGACGCGGCGATGTGGCGATGTGGCGAAGCGGCGAGGCGGCGAGGCAGGGATGTGGCAAGGTGGCGAGGCGGCAAGGCGGCGAGGCGGCGAGGCGGCGATGTGACGACGCGGCGAGTCGGATTGGCGGCGAGGCGGCGTTGTGGCGAGGTGGGGGAGGCGGTGAGGCGGCGAGGCGGAGATGTGGCGAGGCGGTGAGGCGGCGATGTGGCGAGGTGGCGAGGCGGCGAGGCGGCGATGTGGCGAGGTGGCGAGGCGGCGAGTCAGCGAGGCGGCGATGTGGCGGTAATGAGGCGGAGATGCGCCGATGAGGAGGATGGGTTCCGGCGAGTAGGGGAGGCGGATGCGAGGAGGTGGCGACACGGAAGAGGAGGCTGCGACGCGGTACGACGCGTCTCGAAGGCGAGTGACGTAGCGGGTTAGCCGCGAGGCTCGGTTTCAAGCATGTGATGGGGCTTGCGTGTACGCGTGGGTGGGACTCTACCCTCCGGACTCTATCGTAGTAGCGCTAGGGAAAGGAAGCTCAATATGTGCGTAAAAATAGTGGCTCCTACCCTTGACTAGATGGAAGTTTGCTTTGTCAGATTGATCATCTCGGGATGATGTTTGTCACTTGCTTGGTTGCGCTGTACACTTGGTTTCTGCCCTTCCGCGGTGTATTCCCCGCATCAGTTTTGCACACGAAACTGGTTGGCATCACTTGCCGAGTTCGAATTCCTCGCACCAGCTTTCTGTACCCTTCGCTATCGAATCAGCATCCTCTAAAGGGTGTGCACTAACAATGCCCCCAAAAACCACCGCTAGCAAAGTGCACCCTTGCTTTAAGATATCAGCTATGTGTGTTGGTATTTGAAAGCATTGGTTTGTTGCCTTTGTTGATCAGGTGTTAGGAAGGTGCTCTAGTGTTTTCTAATTGTAAGGAAAATTCCTTTTCCTTTCTTCGCATCCCTGATCAACGTGTACATCACTGTAGCACCACAGTCAGCACCGTTACCACTCGCAACCCTCGCATCGACAATCCGCCCGCCATCTTCGCACATCGCACCCCGACCTCACGGCTCGGCGGGTAACCCGCGCTCCGGGCCTCCGCTTCGACACTTTTTCCCAACCTCAGTCCCAGGCCCGTCGCGCGACAACCACAGTCCATTGTGAAGATAGTAGGCAGAGTTAGGAGCCATAGCTAGGTAAGTCCTAGCTAGGCAAGAAACAGTTTAGGCAAAAGAGGGGGGGTTCACTAGCAGCAATGAGGATACATATAGCAAACCCTAGATGGGTTGTACTCACTATAGAGCACCCCACTACAGGCTAGAGAATAACATTCTAACATCCATTACCGTTACCACTGTAGTTTCGCTATATATTCTTCGCTCATGCCTTCGCTCATTGTACTCTTGCTTCGATAGTGCAATTCTCGTTCGTTCACTCAATTGCACTCGTAACACTTGGTATTCAGAGCCTACGATCTCCTCTCGGACCGCACCCACACCTTCGCTTCCCCACTATCTCAATTTTTTGGGGGGGGGTAGACGTCTCTCAGCGACACAGCACCGCCGCTCGTAGTGCTCTCTCGTAAGCACGCACGGCCACGACCGAGGCTCTCGCTGAGCTCGCCCGACACCCCCGCCATGGCCGAATTCACGCTCGCCACATTGACGCAGGAGCAGCTCGACCGTCTGTGTCAAAGTTTAGAAGAAAGAAGAGCATTGCACTAGCAAGAATGGGGATACAAATAGCAAAACCCTAGAAGAGTTGTACTCGCTATAGAGCACCCCACTACAGGCTAGAGCATAATATTCTGACAGTCTGGTGCGCCAACTTGAAGATTCGGCGCTCGAAATTGCGACGCTCACGGCGGAACGTGACTCCGCGCGTCAGCAATCAACGATGAACACTCCAGCGCCACCACACGCACCGACAAAATGCATCTGCACAATCAGACGAGCCGATCGTCATCTCGTCCGGCACACCAACACAAAACAACAGCGTGGGACAGCGCTCAGGCGCAGCCAGCGATGGCGCCGCCCAGCCGATGCCTGGCATGGGAGGAAACAGGGTCGCACCAAGCCCGCGGGAGCCTCGCGAAGCCCGTCGGCACGTGGAGTTTGCAGTGACAAATGGCGGACAGACCATTATGGCACCAATGCCACTCAAGCCGCAACGCCCGCCCTGCTTTGACCCGAGCCAGCGTGGAGGTCCGACGGTTCAATCGTGGGTCTTCACGATGAACGTCTTCTTCGACGCGAATTACGTCGAGTCGGACGCAGCGAAGATTCGGTATGCCGTTTCGCTGCTAAGGGGCCCCGCCATGGACTGGTGGCGAGTCATCGTGACGTCGCCACGCGCCTACAAGCCACCGTCGCAAGAGGAAGGGCCCACGGCCCCAGCTGTCACCTGGAGTTCATTCTGCGAGATCGCCCAATACAGCACGTGGGATGCGTGGTGCGCAGGGCTTCGGGCGCGCTTCGAGCCAATCGCGGCTTCTATTTCGGCGCGTCAGAGATTGCGCACTTGGCAGCAGCTTGGATCGGTTCAAGACTATACGAGTGGTTTTCTCGCATTATGCGAGCAAGTCGGCTACATGCACGAAGCGGAGCGGGTGGACCGTTACGTCGGAGGGCTGAAGCCGGACATCTCGCACGAAATCATGCTACGCGGGCTCTCGAACTTCAACGAGATTCTCGCGCTCGCCGAGAAAATCGACATTTTACGTCGTCCGAGACCGGGGTCCTACTATGGACATCGTCCTCGGGGACCGATCGAGCACGCCACTGTACACGCTGTTGCGACGAATGCAGCTGCCGCGCCGTTTAAGGGGCGCTGCTTTGCTTGCAACAGGCCGGGCCATCGCAAGAGCGAATGCCCAGAGGAGCTAAGGCGCCGCGGAGCAGAGCAGGGGAGGGAGTCTCCAAAGCAGGGAAACGCCAGCAGTCAGTAGGAATCGGGCCAACTACTGACGAGACTGCCTGCTCGCCCAACCCCACCGACCCTCACCGAGTCACAGTACCGATTCATGCTATCGATCGGACTCGGACGAATAAGGAGGGTACAGCAACGGATTGCCCAGTACTGATCCACGGGAAAATACAGGGAGCAGCAGTGAAGATTTTTATCGACGGAGGAGCAAGCCACAGTTTAGTTAATACCGCAACCGCACGAAAACTGCAGCTGACACTTAGCCGTTGCTTACCGGAGATAGACGCACGCTTAGTCGACGGCATGCCACTGGCCATACGGGAAAAGATAGGGAGAGTCAAAGTCCGCTGCGGGGGAAATTTCGGGTTTACACAGGAAATGCTCGCAACGACACTGGATGGGCACGATATTTTACTGGGACGTGATTGGCTGCGACGGTATAACCCGCGAATTGACTGGACGACGGGTAGCTGTACCGTGCGAAGTAGTGGTAACTGGGTCGAGCTACCTCGCTGGCAGTCGCCCGAGTCTTCAACGGTACACGTCAACGCCATCACAATGAAACGGGCTGTCGCTACTGGAGCTGACGTGTACGCAGTAGACATCGCAGTAGTAGAGGAAGCAGAGCAGCCGAGTGATTTCAAGAAACTGCTGGCAGCCGTACCGCCCGAATTACAGGAACTGTTGAAACGATACCCCGGGATTTTCCCCGACGACTTACCGGAAGGACTGCCACCTCAGCGAGCACATGACCACCGAATCGAATTAGAACCGGGGGCACAGCCAACCGTACAGCGCCAGTTCAGACTGACACAGCCCGAGCTCGACGAACTAAGGAAGCAGTTAGATTACCTGTTAGAGAAAAAATTCATCAGACCGAGCTCGTCACCGTTCGCCGCACCGATACTATTCACGCCGAAAAAAGACGGGGGTTTTCGCATATGTATCGACTACAGAGCACTGAACAGGGTAACAGTCAAGTCGCGGTACCCCATTCCCCGCGCCGACGAACTGATCGACCAACTGCGAACAGCACGGGTTTTTTCGAAAATAGATTTACGGGGAGGTTACCATCAGATTAGGGTCGAACCATCGGACTGCGCCAAAACAGCTTTCAGGACTAGGTACGGGTCGTTCGAGTACACTGTGATGCCATTCGGGCTGACCAAGGCACCGGCGACTTTTCAGATGACCATGAACGAGGCATTTAGGCCGCTCTTAGATAAATGTGTAATAGTTTACCTCGACGACATCCTAGTGTACAGTCGGGATAAGCAGCAGCACTTAGCAGATCTGGAAGCAGTGTTTAAGGTTTTAGACGAGCACAGATTACTGACCAAGGGTTCCAAGTGCAAGTTCTTCCAGGATAGGTTAGAATTTTTGGGGCACGTTATTTCGGAGGCTGGAGTTGAAATCGACCCAAAGAAGCTGGATAAGGTAAAGGCGTGGCATCCCCCGACGAACATCACGGAGCTGCAGAGCTTTTTAGGGTTCGTTAATTACATGCGTCGGTTCGTCCCCGATATGGCACGGTTAACTGCCCCACTGACGGAGTTACTGCGGAAGGGGTCGCTTCTACGTGGGGGGAGAAAGAGCATGCTGCCTTCTCTGCCCTGAAAAATGTTCTCTGTTCCCCGCCCGTCCTGCGCATCGCCGACCCACACCGCCCATTCGAAGTAGTTACCGACGCAAGCGATATCGCCATCAGAGCCGTACTGCTACAGGATTTCGGCAATGGCCTACAGCCTATCGCATACGAGTCACGAAAACTGCATCCGCCCGAGAAAAATTACCCGAT